CGAACAATTGGGTTACATGGGCCACATGCCGTTTTTCCATACGGACAACTGGGCTAAAGAAAAATGGGCCGCTAGAAATGAACTTCTAGACGGACACCAAATGAGGTGGGCTAAAACAGCAGCGGCAGACAGCTCAGTGCCGATCGGCCAATCAACTGTAGACCTTTTAGAAATCTGGCTCCGATACCATAAAAGAATTTGTCAGGGGTAGGAATCACTGAATTAGGCAATGGGACATTTGGGTTGTACCACATTAAAAGATTGAATCCAATCGGTTACTTAGTTCAACTCAAGAGCTTATATATACCGATTTTTTTTTTCTCTTCAAGTTTTGATGTGGGATACTCTTTAACAATGTTTAGTTATGAATTCATGGATCTATTGTGATTTTCTGATATGTTCAGTATTTTAAAATGTTACTCAGCTATAATGGGTTGGAAAGCTGCTCAGAAACTCATACATCACTGGAAGATTCTCAGAGGTGACAATGTAAGTAGCAGATGTGGTGAAGTGATGAAATGAATTTGTAGCCTCTCGTGTTTGGCACACTTGTGCACTTCTGTATCTTCTGCATAAATGGTGGCAATTTGTTTGTTGTTTCTTTGGCTTTATTTTTCAGGTCATGATAATTAGAGGCAAAGACAAAGGCGAGAAGGGAGTCATTAAGCGTGTCATACGTTCGCAGAATCGTGTTATTGTTGAGGGCAAAAATCTGGTGGGTAAAGTTATCTTTTCTACGATAGTATGATACTAGGGTTTGAATCTCCAACTGAACTGTCAACTTTAGTTAAGCAGCCTTTTCCTCTTAAGCATGTTCTAACGACGCATCCTTTCTTTGCTTACTAATTATTTGTTTAGCCTAGATGTGAAAACACTGGCAGTTAGTAAGAGTATTCTTAGCAGAAGCTCTTTGGTTAAAAGTACTCTTAAGTAGTATGTATATGTTGGGAAAACAGATTATACACTATTTAATCAAAATCTAATCAAAAGTGTTTTTCGGATAGTAAATATGTTAAAAGGTTTTTCAAAAGTTTTAATTCAAAGCTTTTGAAGTTATTTAAGAAAAGCACTAGTAAACAGGGGGCAGACCAAATCTGCCAAGCATATACTCCGTAAAATTTATCTTCTAAATATTCTAAAGCACTTTTAAAACTTGAGATCCTAGGTCAAACAGAGCTTAAAGATGTAATTGGCTGGAGTTGTAGTTGCTTAAACGAAGATGATGTATAAATGGGCTGGAACTATTTCTACCTCCTAGAGTCATAGTTAATACTAGGTTGTGTATCATAGTTCATAATTTCTTATGGAGCAAGAATTGGTTAAAGAAGAACAATTTTAGGCACTCTCTGCAGTTGTACTTGCAATCCCACTAATATTGATAGGAATCACATTCTTACCTGAACTATTGTGTTGCCGTGCCACATGTTTGCCTTGGTATTATTCTACTTCTTCCGTTTCTAAGTAGACAACTAGACGTCACACATTCCATTTTTCCAACCTTGATAAAACTTCTCGCATTTCCAGTTATGGGAAAAAACTATGTGGCTTACAACATGTTTCTTCTAAAAAAATTCTAACCACTTATTACATTTTCACGTTTCAACACTTTTCTTAAACCCCTTGAAATCAAACTGTAAAATTCATTTTTGGGTGGAAGGAGTATATTTTTATGTCTCTTATTACTTGAACCATCTCTCTCTCTCTCCCACACAAACTCTCTCTCCCCCTTTGTTTTTCAGGTAAAGAAGCATATTAAACAAGGTCAAGGTCATGAAGGTGGGATATTTTCAGTTGAAGCACCATTGCATGTCTCTAATGTGCAGGTTCTAGATCCAGTGACAGGGTATGGATATACTTTTTGTCTTCTTTTTCTCTGCAACAACTTTAAAGATACAGAAAACCAAACAAAACAAACTGAGTGTATGCCACTAGAGAGTAGGGTTTGCGGGACAATATATACACAGTTTACCTCTGCCCAAGGGGTAGAGAGGCTGTTAACTTTTACCCTATAGAGCATTGTAACTAATATTTATGTTTGCAGGCTACCGTGCAAAGTTGGAATCAGGTACTTGGAAGATGGTTCTAAAGTAAGAGTTTCAAGAGGCATTGGAGCATCATCCTCTATTATTCCACGTCCCGAGATTTTGAAGATAAGAAGTACACCAAGACCATCAGTTGGTATGTGAAACTTCATCTGTCTGCATTTTTTGAGTTCTGGAAAATGTTGTTTGGTAGAAAGGAAATAAAAAATTTTCTTTCAAAAGCAAATCGAAATTATTTCCCCCCTATTGGGAGAATATATTTTCTCGAGAAAATAATTTCCTTCCACTAATGTTACCAAACGCAGGAAAATAAAATCAAAAATTTTTTGGAAAAAATTTCCCCCAAACAAACACATCCTATATGCTTCAGTTTTATGGCCCCTGCATCTTAGGTTCAAACCATGCATTCTTAGGATGGAGCAATGAACTAAATAAGTTGGTGATTGCTGTTTATTAGTGGCGAGGGCCTTGAGGCTCAAAGCGATTTTTTTAATTATAATTTTTGGTGTCTATGCCACAACTCAAAACACCTGCACTATGTTTGGACTTTGGAGGTTTGAAGCCAAGGAGGTTTTTGTGTTTTATCATTCACGACCAGCTCATCCCAAGTTTTAACCATATCCATATATTGGGTTCTAATTTTAAGCAAATCACACATTATATTAGAATTTTGTGGCGGATCAAGCATTAAGGGCCCATTTGGTGAATTCTAGATTGTTGATATGATATGAGTTATGAAATATTAATGAAATGATATGTATTTTGGAATCTTAAATTTAAGTGTTTGGAGGGAAGAAATGATGGTTTTTTTAAACCGAACTTTCATTAAATAGTCATCAAAATAAAATCTGGGGGCGAACCAACACTCTCCCATGCTTGAGAAGAATAAGACGCGTGCTAAAATGCGCCACTCATTGGCAGAGCGAAGATCAAACTGCAAGTGTAAGTCTCTTTCCAAATAGCTGAGAGACTTCTACAATCATTAGTGATATAACTGAAATATGACCAATTACTTGTAGGGCTATTCAAATAAACCCCAACTTCCTGGAGAGATGAAATGATGGTTGTTAGGGACAGGGGTGTGCGGTTGGTGGCCGATGGTTGTTCAGGTGATATCAAAACACCCCCATTTGGGAGGGTTGTGATATCCGGAGGTATCAAATCTGGACCCTTTTTGGCTTTACCAAGCACCCATCAAAGGGTTTTGATATCAGGATTTCAGAGCACATATCCCTTGTGCTCACCAAACGGGTCCTAAAATTTTTCCTTTGATCATGCTAAAGGGTACCCTAACAACCCTCTTGATAATGGTCTTATTGAAAATGTGATGTAGCAAACAAGCATTAAAGATTGGATCACACACCACATAATCACAGCTGCGCTGAAGATTTCACCAAAAACTCTTTGGCAAGTTTTGATTACTAGATGAAAATTTCAAAGCTCTATAGATGAAGTTAAAGATGGCATCATACACCATATGATCACAGCTTTGGGTTCTAGATGAAATTTTCAACTTGCCACAGAGCTTTGATTGCTACCTGTGCAAAGGTTAATATGACCCATATATGATATATGATCCCTATATTTGGTTTGGGGAATTTACCTAAATAGGACTAAAACATAATGACTTTCTCAATATAGGACCATATATTTTTATTTCTCAATATATGGACTAGTCGGCCTACTAGTCGTAGACTAGTCGACAGATCACAATTAGTATTGCAATTTTTAACATTATATCTTCATTCACCCAAGATAACTATATATATTTATATGACAAAATATCATTACCAAAATAAAATTATGTTTAAAGGTAGAACATAAAGTCACTAAAAAATTAATAAAACTAAAAAATTAAGAGTATAATATACTTTAATAGTCTAATGAACCAAATTAAGGAAAATTAAACCGAATTAAGAGTATACTTTAATGATAAATAATTAAAGATTGAGAGATGCTACTTATGGATAGAGAGCGTGTGAGTACTAGAAGATGAAGCAGAAACAATTCCAAAAAATTGATTCTGGAACTGCGAACTCTGGAAGATGTCGCGATTTGGGAATAGTTAAATGTCGATTCACTGGATATTGATTGTGCTGATTGAACTGATCGAGGAAGGCTGTGTTTTATTGAGTAATTTTTAAAGTTTAATGAAATTTGTCGGGTTGGGTCAAATTGGATGGTTCATGGGCAGGTTTTCTTCACAGGCTAGTCATTGCCTAGGTGCGTCTAGGCGTCGCTTAACTCGCCCAGTCGCCTAGTCTACCCTAGTCGCTAGTCGACATGCAAGTCGCCATTAAAAAAACGCCTGGACGACTAATCGGCGACTTGACTTCACACACCACATAATCACAGCTGCCCTGAAGATTTCATCAAAAACTCCCTGGCAAGTTTTGATTGCTAGATGAAAATTTCAAAGCTCTATAGATGAAATTAAAGATGGCCTCATACACCATATGATCACAGCTTTGGTTGCTAGATGAAATTTCAACTTGCCATAGAGCTTTGATTGCTACCTGTGCAAAGGGTTAATATGACCCATATATGATCCCTACATGGCTACATTTGGTTTGTCTGCACATTACAAAGTCTAATTCTGGCTTTATTATTTTTTTTTATATAAATAGCTGGTCCAAAGGACACTCCATTGGAAGATGTCATGGAAAGAACATATGACCCGAAAGCCGGGAAAGGCATGCCGGATCTCTAGGGAATGCTTCTTCCATGTCTGGTTTCATCTTCCTCAAAGCTTTGGGTGCCTGCCAGAATCTAGCAGGAAAGAGAGAATGGATTGACATAAGTTGGATCTTATTATAGTATTGCAGCAGTCTGTAATGTTATTGGTTATAAGTATTAACTTGATGATATGTTTTAGGGTTTGAGAATTTGGTTTTTTTTTCAATTGTTTGTGCACACGAGCAAAACAATAATGTTCCAAGATGTTCAGTCTTTCCCCAAACCAATTGAACACTTTTCTTGTTCCATTGTTGTGGATAGGGGTGTTCAATCGGATCGATCCGATCCAATCCGCAGTGTCAGTGTCGGATATTTGAAAGTTTCGGATCAATTAAAACTCATTCTATATCCGAAAATATTTGGATATTCAAATTTTTGGATCGTATCAATGGAATATCCAAAAAAGTTCAACTTTTTAGACAGAATTTACAAAAAAAAAGGTAAAAATTTGAAAAATAAACCTACAATTGCTACCAAATTCAACATAGATTTGGTTAAAGAATGGTCCTAAAATCAGACGAGCACAAAAAAAAAAGGAATAACAAATTCAAAAGAAACAGTGTAAAACTGGAGTATGAGGCGTTTTGGAATTGGATCCAAATGCGAAATCACTACTATCCGGCGGAGTCAGGTTCAGGTCCAAATCCAATCCAACCCCGAAAACTCTCTTGCCGCTATTCGCCCTCCTCAACACCGGCAGCGCCGCCGCTGCCGCCGCCGGTTTCCCCGAACATCCATTGTTATTATAACTACTACTATTCAACAAAGCCGCTGCCCGGTGTCTCCTCATGTGCCCGCCCAAGGCCTGCCCCATGGTGAACTCCACCCCACATATAGAGCAACAGTGCATCTGTTTGCCCTTATTACTATTACTATTACTATTGTTGCCTGCTTCCCCGCCGTCCCGTTCTCCGCCCAGGGTGGGTCCCGCCACGAGCCTGGCCCGCTTGTGGCTGGCCCGGTGGCCGCCCAACGCCTGGAACGACGCGAACTTCTTGTCGCACGTCTTGCACGCGAAACTTGCGGACGCATCCGCTCCGGGCGGCGACAGAAACGAGGCGGCGCAAACGTTTGCGAGAAACACGAGCCGCTCCACCGCGGCGACTCGGTCTTCTTCCATGCTCATCCTTTTCATGAGAGTCTATACAACTTGGGTTATGAAACTATTACTTTTGGTAAATTGAAGTATGATGATGTCTTTGGTTTAGTATATATATAGGATTTGTTTTGTGTTGAGTCTTGACTTGTGTACGTGTGTATATCTGACGCTCTATTATTTTTCCTAAATATTTGTCACATTTGTATTCCCGAAGTAAAATATTAAGTTTTTTCAATTCATTTTATTTTAGATATAAAAAATAAAATTTACATATCAAAAAACTAAATAAAAAGTTCATCGAAATAAGATGTGTCAAGAATATTTTATTCTATCAAATGACCAATGAAAAAGTAGAAATAAACAAAAATTCTCGCAACTATTAAAAAAGCAAGTGTGATAAATATTTTGAGACGGAGGGAATATAAATAAGTTGACTTCAAGAATAGTGTGAGGCACGTCTAGAAGTATATATATTCAATTCGGCACGTGGACGGTTTAAGTCTAACGTTTAGAACTATCCATTCCTCAATTCTCAGCGTTGTTTTTATAAAATTTGATTTTCTTTATTGTAGTCCTCTCTAGAACATGGTACTTCAAATAAATTAGGGAATATAAAATTAAAAATGAAATTGTCCATGGTATCAGATGTTCAAACTTTACATATTATTTATTTCAAACCTGTTCGGTATAATGTTCACTCTAAAATAGCATAGTGTTCATTGGCAAAGTATATTGTGTGAAAATCATTAAGATTTTCGTGATCGGAGTCCAAAACAATAAAGGACTCGAACGAGTGGATAAACGTCAAATTTGACTCTAAAACTGCAGGAGACCTTTCGTTGAAACGCTTTCTTCTTCTCGTGCGTTTCTTCCTCTCCGCACAAACGTACGCGTGTCTACGTGAACGTTCATGAATATTCAGCTCTATAAATAGAGTCTCGTGGTATGGGTTAAGGCAGGGCCGACCCAAAAGGGGGACAAAGTATCCGTCCAGGCCGGGCCCAATAACTATAGGGGCACACAATTCTTTTTTTAAATATTATATATATATAAGCCCATTCCATTTTAGGCCCAGTCCACCCCTCACTTAGACTCCGTTCCATTCAACTTATTTTTTCTGATCTGGTCTGATTTTCTGTAGTTCTGATCTGATCTGATCTAGTCTGATCTGATCTGATTGGATCTGATCTGGTCTGATCTGGTCTGATCTGATCTGATCTAGTCTGATCTAATCTAATCTGATTAATTATGATTTGATTTAAAATTCAAATCAATAATTTTATTTGACTTTATAATAACGTTTAAAAATTGCAATTATAATTCATATTATAATATAATTAATATTTTTTATTTTATTATTATTTTTTATAAAACAAAATTAGTTAATTCATATATTAGAATAATCATTCATGTTTTAATGTAATAATATTTTTTATTTTATGATTATTTTTTTGTGAAATAAGAATATTGATTTAGTATTTTAATAATTAGTTCATATATACATTAGAATAAATAATTAATTTATATATACATTAAAAATTAATTAAATTTAGATAATCAATATAAAGAAGAGATAGTATTTTTATTATAATATATTATCCTTATAAAAGATCAGAAGTTTAGAAATTCAAATTACAGGTAGCAATAAAAATGTGTTTTAAAAGTATAATTAGATGACATTGTAAATGCATTTTAAATATAATTTTTCCAACGTCTAATAATTAAGGATTACTTTATCAGTTATCTATTTAACTTGTTTCTAAAGTTTATTCTTTTTCATTTTTAAAAAGAAGAAGAAGAAAAAGAATAATAATAATAATAATAATAATAATAATAATAATAATAATAATAATTCTTGATGAGATCTGATATAATCTGATTGGATCTGATCTGATCTAATTCGATCTGATCTAATCTGATTCGATTTGATCTGATCTGATTTTAATAAGATTAAGAAAAAATAAGTAAAAATAAGTTGAACGGAACGAGATCTTACTCTACCCCTTAGCCTAGTCCACCCACTCACCTAGTCACCCGTAGCAAAAAAAGAACCAATTAGGGACTGCCGAACAGGCAAAGAAAGGACCAGATTACCGGAAGAGCCAATAGCCGAACACCCGAACAAAGGACGCCGCCTCCAAAAGAGGGCGCCGCCGTCACCCCGCCGGACGCCGCACTCCACGGGTATTCCATATTCAATTATTCATAGCTTTCCAATTTTGTAATTTTCATTTTTAAAATTTTTATTTTCTTTCATTGTTTCATTTTTTAGATTTAAAATCTAAGGTTAGTTATTAGTTTTTAATTTGGAATCTTTTCTAATTTCATTCTTTGAAATAGAATGAATTAATGGTTCTATATGTTATTTATTTGATTTGGATGAATTGATTTGAATTTGTTATTTATGATATATTTATATAAAAAAACTGAAAACTGAAAACAAAATTAAAAACTGATAAATTGACGAATTGATATGAATTTATGATTTCTAAAAAAATTAAAATGGAAAAAGAAAAAAAACAATTAAAAAAGAAAAATTGACGAATTGATATTAATTTATGTTATATTTATTTATTTGCTTACTTTTCAGTTTTTCATACTTGATTTTACTAAGTAGTAGGTTTTTTTATAAATTTGGATTTTATTCCAAAAATAATTCAATAGCTAGGGCCTTTTTTCTTTTTGGGCCTAGGCACATGAATTCTCAGGACCGGCCCTGGGTTGAGGCATCCGATTTCTTGTGCTTGTTCTTGATTAACGTCTTATCCGATTGAAGTATTTCGTATACCCCGAAATAACTTTGATATAAAAGTGTTTATACGTGATTCGTTATACTATTGAGTTGTTCATCAACACTGCTCCGCAGTGTTCTTCCTCGTAAAATTCCTAAAGTTGGTTGTTGTTGTTGTTGTTATTATTATTAGGGATTTTTTATATCAAATTCTGAACTAACTTTGGCATTATCCATTAAATTTAAAGGCCCTTTTTAGCCAAATTTAATGAATAATGCATAGATAAAAACGAAAAATTTATTAACAAAAAATATGAAGTGATTATTTAGCCAATGTTAACTTTATGCATTATTCATTAAATTTGCATTTCCCGTTTTTTAAAGGCCCTTTTTCTTATGTACTCCCTCCGTCCCAAAAAGAATGAAACGGTTTGACTTTTTGGGAAATTAAAAGAGGAATATTTTGGTATTGACTTTCCAAAAATACCCTTGATGTGATGGGTAAAAGTAGGATGTGATGGGTAGATTATTAGAAAAAAAGTATGATGTGATAGGTAGAGTATGAAAAAGTAAGGGGTAAAAGTGGTTTTTTAATAGAAATGTAATGGACTTTACGGGACGCAGTTTTTTCTAAATGTAATAAACTTTTTGGGACGGAGGGAGTATTAACTAAATATTATGATTTTTTTTAAAAAAATGCATGGATAGAGATGGAGAGGGTTTGTAGAGAGTAGACAAACTAATATTTACTCCCTCAGTCCCTCCATCCCGCTATATTCGTCCACTTTTGACTTTTGGAACTGTTCATCTAAGTACTTTGACTCATCAAATTCTCTCAATGTGTAAGCCTAAATATAGTTATGTGTGATCTTGTTTGATTTGTCTTAACATATAGATTATTAATATATAATTTCTATAATTTTTTAATATACAAATTACAGAATAAAATGGATTAAAGAAGTTTATTGGATGGTGCGTAAAAATGAAAGTAGATAAATACTCTAGGACAAAGGGAGTATCTCTTTATTTTCTTTTCTCTCATTTTTTTCTATCTATCCAAATAATATATTTTGTTTTCTCTCATTTTTTTGTCCATCCAAACAATCCATTAAAGTGGATGCTTAGAGTAGACAAAAACTATTTTTTTTTCAAGAGAAACATTAATGAGAAGGTTCAGAAGAAAAAGAAAACGCAATTGCTGATGTATTATTAGGTGCATGGGTCATTAAATGAACAAATAATTCATAATTGTTGACAGTATAAACAGAGATTACCTAATTGTTGATAACTTGAGATATAATGTAGTCATTACATCATTGATGAAGAAAGTACACTTAAATGTCAAAGATTATTGCTAAACCCACCCTTCGTTTACTTATATACTCTCCGGTGGGGTTCCCATGACATTGGAATCCCATGTCATGGGATGACCCGGGGACGCTCCGGTGTCTCGTTCGTAAAATTGACGATTCCTATCCCTCTAACTTTCCCGGTAAATTCCCAATCCCGCCCTGACCAGAACACACACCCCTACCCCCTTCAATTGCACCTCACAAGTTGATTCTCACTTTCGAGTCACTCCAAAGTCAGAATCAACTTGTGGGGTGCAATTGAAGGGGGTGAGGGTGTGTGTTCGAGTCGGGCGGGGTGGAGGATTCACCGGGGGTAGGAACCATCAATTTTACGAACGGGACACCGGAGCGCCTCCGGATCATTCCATGACATTGCCAGACAATGTCATGGGAACCATCCCCCACTCACTATATTGATATTTAAAAGATATGTTTTGTATTTAATTATTTAAAAAGGAAAGACGTGAAGGGCAAAATTGTCCACTTATTATTTAATAGGACGAATTTGGCCAAGGGAGAAAGACCAAAGTAGGACTAAAACATTTAAAATATACCAAAATAAGTCTTTCATGTTTTTATTCTCGAAATAGGACTTAAAATGCATTTACATTACCAAACATGGTCATGTATATTACCTAAAAATATAGTAATGTGCACATGTACAGTGCCACATTACAACCACATTACCACAGTACGAAATCTTATTTCGAAAAAAACATGGAAGTCCTATTTTAGTACTTTTTCCTATGTTTTAGTCTTATTTAGGGTGATTTCTATTTGGCCAAATGAGGTGGCAATAGTTAGAGTTGTTCTTCTCTCTTTTTAAGGTCCACATAAGAAATTAAAACTTTCTCACACTTTTCACGGACCGGCAAATGGATATTTTCTTTTTTTATTATAAAAAATCTAAATCTTTTATAATATTAATGCACCAAGATCCATAAAATAAACATGAACCTTAGGACCACGCGATATTGCCCAACTCATATATATTGTGTACTAAACTCTACCAATGTGTAACAAAAAAAGTTCAACGAAATAAATTTTTATGCATTATGTATAAAAATTAATATACTAATGTGCAATATACTTTTTATTTAATTAATGATGAAAGTTTGTCGAATTTAATTCAAAAAAGACAAAGTAAACGAATACTGTGGGACAAGGGGCAATATATGCAAAGGTCATAGCTTGTTTGTTTGATGACTTGAATTTGGACCAGATTTCATTATTTGGTCTTCAGTATGAGGACTGGCCCAACATCTTGACCCACAAAGTTCTAGTCAAATTACAAAGACCAGCTCATTGTCCTTTGTTGGCCCAATCAAAATATTATTTTCCAGGTATAGTCCATAAAGAAAGGACTGGTTATGAAACATATTTTAAAAATTGAGGACCACGAATGTAATATCTTGAAATTAAATAATGAAAATGAAAAGCCACTTGTTATTAAGGACCATTTATAGAATTTACCTCGCTACTCCGGTTCTGAAATATCCACGACTCCGATTCGGTCATCTTCGGGCAAAACGGACCAATTGGGTGACTGCACTGCCCTCAACCACCGAAAATCATCCACGTTCGCCCAATACCCGGACTCTTCGCAAAGATTTGCCCTCTCAAGATCCCTCTCAATCCCGGCATACCCCAAACGGTATGGGGCAAACCTCACCCCAGTACTGTCCTCAATTATAGGCCTACTTCGTACCCAGAGGTCAAAATCGCACTCCGTTGCATGGTGAATCCTTATCTGATGAGATGCCAACAAAAAGACACAGCCTTTCGCTTCCTCGATCAAAACAGACCCGGTCACGGGCCCCACGTAGACCTTGCAGTTTTTCAGCTTATGCACAAACAATGCCCTCACACCCCCCAGCAATCGAACTTCGCAACCTCTTAAATCTGAGAGCATAAACTCTCCTCCGGTTTTATCTTCCCCAGCTTTGCTAAAATCCATTGACATGACCTCATTTTCCCAGGCAAGTCCAAACCCTGAAAAAGACTACCTGGATTTTGAGCCATGGTGTTGTTCTCAATGTCGTTGTTTTTAGATGGGCACTCAGGAATCGAGTCCTTCTTTGCGGTTTTGTTTCGAAATGAGAACTTTTTCTTTGGGATGATAGTAGAGTTTGCCTGCTCCAAGGCTTGCTTGAGCTCGGACACGGTTTTGAGGCATGACCGGACTTCATATGAGGGCAAGAAGTATAAGCGCTCGGCGACTTGCTTTTCAAGACTGGCAATTGAAGTTGAAACCCTTTCTAGTTCTGATCTTAGATTTGTTGGGTCTTGGGCTTTGCAGACCTGGGACAGTTCTGATTCGATGGATCTTTTAGATCCGGAAAAATGAGAGAGGAATGACTGTGTGGAGTCTGGAGAGGTGTTTGGGTTCGAATTAGGCTTGCACGATGCCAACCGTGACTGATGGAGGTTTGAGAGGCGTTGTATCATTGCCGCATGCTTGCGTTGGATGGCCGTGTTTGATATTTCATCTTTTATGATTTCTTTAGATAGGCCACCATCATCCTCTTCAATGGGCTTATCATCATAAACATCAACCCGGCCATCACTTTTAGTGTTGTCAGTCATTGACTATTCGCAGGCCAGATCTTTTCAGGCAACTCAGCGGGTTTGAGCAAAGCCAATCTTGCCTGCCAGAATAAAGTTAATCATGAAGAAGAAAGTTTATCTCCAAAAAGACAAAGGGAAAAAGATATTACTACTCTTGTTTGTTGAGATGGCTAGGAGCCTAGGACATTGTTCTAAAAATCCCTGCATAGCTCAATCCCCCTCCCCTTTGCATTTTGGATATCAGAGGGTTAGGGATGGATAGGCTTTGGAGGTTTTAAAGAAATTCCCACCAAAAGTCTAAAACCCATCTTCATGATTATCTAACACAACAAAACTGTATGGACTAATGAAATAAAAATACAAATTTCATTGATAATACATATAAACGCTTCCCTTCATAGGGAAAAAAATAAAAGTGAGAAGGTAAACAAAAACTACTCAAATTACATGACATAAAAACAAGTAATAAAAACCAAAGATCAAAGTAAACATGCAACAAGTAATAGCTATAAACACTAATAACATATGATCCTGCAAATATGAACCTTAGGACCACGCGATATTGCCCAACTCATTTATATTGTGTACTAAACTCTACCAATGTGTAACAAAAAAAGTTCAACAAAATAAACTTTTACGCATTATGTATAAAAATTAATATACTAATGTGCAATATACTTTTTATTTAATTAATGATGAAAGTTTGTCAAATTTAATTCAAAAAAGACAAATTAAACGAATACTGTGGGACAAGGGGCAATCTCCATACATACAATGGTAGGAAGCTAAAATGAATAGTGTTCCCACTGAAAGTTATTGGGCCGAGTATGAGGTCATGGGTTGGGTTGTATTGTGGGCTTCAATTTCGGATTTAGTGGATTTCATTAGACTGGAAGAATAGGGTGGCGGCAGGAAGTTTATAAAGCGGTGAGAGGACTTTCTCGGTTTTGATGGTTATGATGAAAAAAACTTTTTTGGGCAGCGTGTGCACTATAATTACATGCCTTTCACTACTTTTTAGGAGCCTAATTTACTTTAAAAGTACTTTTACTTTAAAAGAACTTTTTAGAGATCTTTAATGAAATTGTGCCTTTTGAGACTTGGCACATTCCTACATGCAATATTTCTTGGGCATTGCATATGTAGAAATCTTCAAATCTTTAGAATCCTCTATCAATGCATTCATTACCCACCAAAATTTCTCTTTAAATACCGAATCAGAAATTGCATGGGTCAAACATTACATTATTGTCAATTGAATGAGTGGCAAGTACTGATTTTGCACCACGGGTCCATGAGTGTGTAACCTACAATTTAAGTTCAATTTGGTATCAATCCATGCAACACAATAAAAAATGTGAGCTATGGTGAAATTCCTCTTCTTTTATGCATTATTTAGTATACTTCCTGTTTGCAAAAAAATGTTCTTCAAGCCTTTTTATACAATATCATTTACAATGTTGTATTAAACACATGGATATTTTATAGAGCTGAGTTAGAAATAAAGCAAATTAATTCATTTGAGAGTAAATATTTGTTAATAAATCAAAACTAATATATTTTTCAGAGAGCTTATACCGAGTATTTGGTTAAATTATACAAAGTATTTAATCATCTATGAGCATATTTCAAAACTTTACCAAGAAATAAAAGCTTGAAACATATATGTGTAGAAATATTATAGAGTACCTGCAAATGAAATGTAAACAAATGAGATCTGAACTGTAACATTATATGAAAAAAATTACCGAGTGTATGTTATAAGATTTCTTAATTTTGCCACAACTTTTGAGGAAAACATTTAGATGGTTCTCCACATCAAACTATATATTCTCATTTAGACACCTGTGGAATAGCGTCAAAGCGGCATACTTCAATGCATGGAAATCATAGTTCACATTTATTCATAGAAAATCATATTTTACAATATTCTGCACTATTCTTTCAAAATATATTGTATTTCCTTATGATGGTGAGAGTTTTAATGGTTTCAATGAAAAACTATTTCTTCTCGGGTTTAGTAGTTTTATAATTCAAAATGCATTTAAGGAATATTTAAATCATAAGAAATTTTAATCTCTTAAAGAGCTAATTTCTTTGCTCTAAATATTTCAAATTTTCTTCTGGGCTAAAATCCACCATTGGTCCTTCAACTTTATCAATTGTGCACGATTAGTCCTTCAAGTTTCAAAAGTCCATAAATAGTCATTCAACTTTATGAGTTTTGCACCATTGGCCCTTCAAGTTTCAAAAGTTCATAAGTAGTCCTTCATGTACACGTCAGCCCTCCAGATGAAGTCCTTTTGAAAGTAAATATTAAAAGTTAGACGAAATACTAGTTTCATATAATACGAGTAAATTTCACTAGGTACGACTACTCCGTATTATATGGAGCTAGTATTCCATTTAGCTTTTAACATTTACTGTCAAAAGGACCTCATCTGAAGGACTGACGTGTACTTGAAGGACTACTTATGCACTTTTAAAACTTGAAGGACCAATCTTGCATAACTCATAAGTAGAAGGACTATTTATGGACTTTTAAAACTTGAATGACCAATCGTGCACAATTGATAAAGTTGAAGGACCAATGATGGAGTTTCTGTTTCTGTTGAAAAGTCTACTTTTAGAGTTTCAAAAAGATAATTTTAAATTTTGAAGGATGATGATTTTAAGGCTGCTTTTGCAAATTAAAAAACAACTTCTCTTATAATTTAAAAGAGAGGATTTTAAGTTTTTAAATATCTACGATGCTTTAATGGTTTGAGGAGTTTATGTGGGAAAGGCTTTGACAATTGTTAAAATAGAGAAAGATTGAATTGATGGTCATTATATCTTTCATGTTGGTTCATTCTCATTCTATTCGGAAAAAAACACCTACAAAGAGGATAAAATTTGAGTTAAGACACGAGTTCATGAAATCTGGAGTCAATACCTTTATTCTGAGAATTTTCATATTAGATCTGTTAATTTTAGTTCCATTTTCAAACAAATCTACACCCTCTTTTTAATTTAAACTTTATCGTGAACAACGTGAATCCCATTTAAAAAAAATAACAGAGTAGATGAAATTTCAAAGTAGATTAAGAATCAAAGCAAAATACAACCAAAGTGCGATCCTAAAAAATAAATATACCTTCCAAACAATAAATCAGTTCTAAAGATCATAGAGAAAAGGCTATTAAATCCTAAGAAGATAAATGATAGATTCATACTCATGTTGCCATAATCTGAGAAACACATTTAAGTTTGTCACATATTTCATTCATTTCTTCAAAAAAAAAAGAGATGCAAATAAAAAAAATACTCCCTCCGTCCCATAAAACCTTTCTCCTTTCTTTTTTCATCCGTCCCATAAAACACTTCTCATTTCTATTAAAAAGTCACTTTTACCCCTTACTTTTTCATACCCTACCTATCACATCATACCTTTTTACTAATAATCTACCCATCAAATCCTACTTTTACCCATCACATCAAAAGACATTTTTGGAAATTTAATATCAAAATACACTCCCTTAAATCTCTTCAAAAAGCAAAACATCCCAATGTTTATGGGACGGAGGGAGAAGATGGTTTTCTTTTAGGTATGAGAAAACTTAAAACCAAGAATTCTCAACCAAAAAACTGGAGATGAAAGAAGCAGATCTAAGTATTCATCGGCAAAATTATATAAAATCAGGGATTAGTAGATACTCGAAGAACCAATTTGAAAAGAAATATGCAATTCAAGATGAAACACTTACATACCCTACCGAAACGACTCTGTTTCCGACAGTCGATGCTGAAGCCTCACCGGGTAAACCAAGCTTCGTTAGTGGTTGAAGGCTATGCAAAGGTCCATATTCGGTGCTCACGGGCGGCGGCGTAGATCGCAGTGGTTAAACCCTGGAGAGAGATGAAACTGCGCATAGATCACAGAAATTTGGGTGGATGAGTTTGCTCACATCCCATATTTGACTTCACACAATTAATGCAATGCTTTTTAGTTGTTACATCTAAATTTAATTTTTTTTCATTTGTAAAATTTGTTAACTTTGACCGGGATATGTAAAAAATATATTGTGTTCTTATAAATGTAATATCAATATTTCTTTTTAAACAAAGTTTTGAAATATTAAAACTTTAAAAGAATACTCCCTCCGTCCCTGAATATTTGTTTACCATTGACTTTTTTCAGTCAAAATTAGTAAACTTTGACATCAAATTAAAAAAATGATATTAGATATTGATACAAAAATAGTTTTATTAGATTTATTACATCAAATAAATATTTTCAAAATACTATTTTATCTAACTAATATACATTATATATTTTATTTAATTATATGTCAGAGGTTAAAAATAGTTGACTGAAAAAAGTCAAAACTAGATAAATACTCAGAGACGGAGGTAGTATAACTATATTTAAATATCAATATTAATAGTAAAAATGATACATTAGCAAAATCAATGAAAGATAATAACCAGACACGGAAGGGTAAAAAATGTCATTGACTAGCCTATTTTAGCTTTTAAAATAAATTGATATAAATAAGAGAGAGTCAAAATGATTTAAAAAATAGAAAAAGTTGATGAAATTAATTAAAAAATAAAAGTCATTGAAATCTTAATATAAAATTGAACAATATCTGATCATAGATTTATTTTAAAATGCATGCATGTCTATACAACAGTAGATATATCCATCTGGCTCGGAAATCTTTAAGCTAGGATTTGTTAACCGGTTATGGAAGCCCTTTTCAATTAATGGGGTGGATATTTTAAAGGAAGGCCAGTTTATTGTCACTTTCACTAAAGAGGAGGATATGCAGGAAGTAATAAAGAGGAAATACTATTTTTTTTGACAATAAACCAATTCTGGTACAACAATGGCAACCAGGAAAGAAACTGGCTGTTGAAGAATTGTCTGATATCCCCATCTGGGTTCGGCTTCCTGAGTTGGATTTGAAGTATTGGAGTTTATCGGGGCTGAGTAAGTTGGGCAGCCTGATAGGCACTCCTATCAAGAGAGATAAGGCTACTACTAAGAAGTCTAAGTTTGATTGTGCTAAAATTCAAGTGGAAGTCAAAGTTCAACAAAATTTCCCTAATGAGGTGGTCTTTATTGATGAAGCTGGTAGAGCCATATCCTAGAAAATTGAGTATGAGTGGTATCCCTGTATCTGCTCGCACTGTAAAAAAATGGGACATCTACAAGAGACATGTAGAAGAAGAGAGCCCAAGAAATAGGATGAGAACCCCAGAAGAATGGTGTGGAAACCGAAAGCTAAAGTTATCCATGAAGAGGAAAAGAGGGTGGAGGAGAATCCAACAATGCAAACACCAATAGAAGTGTTATTGACCAATGATGAGAATCAAATTGAAGTAGAATTTACAGCAGTTAGTGGAAGGAAAGCTGCTACGAAGATAATACTGGATAGGGATGATGAAGACTTCATGAGCAATTTTAAGAAAATACTTGAGAAGGCCCCTTATGAGGGGCATCACCCCTTCCTTAAATGATTGGATGCTGGAATGTTAGAGGACTGAATAGTCCTAATAAACAAGATGAAGTAGTTTATTTTTTGAAGAAGAATAACATTGACCTTTGTGGTTTATTGGAAACTAAAATTAGAGAGAATAAGTTTGAGAACATTGAACAGAGGATTTGCCAAGGATGGAAATCATTTATTAATAACTCAGCCCATCCCTTTGGTAGGATTTAGGTAATTTGGAAACCTGATAAAATAAATATCACTATCATGAACCTGTCTGATCAATGGGTTCACTGCATGGGTAGAAGACGGGATGAGGATAAGGATTTTTACATTACCTTTGTATATGGTCATAATGAGGCAGCTAGAAGGGTTGCTTTGTGGACTGATCTCGAGACTATTGCTTCATCATGTGATAAACCCTGGTTTGTCATAGGGGATTTTAACAATGTCTTGGAGATGGACGATAGAACTGGTGGAACCCCATTAACTAGAGAGGAAATTTCTGACTTTAAACAATGTACCCTAGCATGTGGCCTGGAAAAAATGCCAAGTGAAGGCTCTAGATATACCTGGTCCAACAGACAAGGACCCGACAGGAGAATCTACTCAAAAATTGACAGGGCTTTAGCCAACATTGAATGGTTTAACCCATTTAACACAAAGGTAATGGTTATGGAAGAGGGGCTATCTGATCATTCCCCACTTTTCTTGAAAGAGTGCCACACTGGAAAAGAAAATTTCTCATTTAAATTCTGCAATATGTGGCTACTAGATCCTGATTTCCCCAACTTAGTTGAGAACATATGGCATCAAAGGAGGGAGGGGAGATTTACCTCGCTACTAGATCCTGATTTCCCCACTTGTTATTAGAAACCATTTATGGAATTTACCTCGCTACTCCAGTTTTGAAATATCCACGAATCCGATTCGGTCATCTTCGGGCAAAACGGACCAATTGGGTGACTGCACTGCCCTCAACCACCAAAAATCATCCACGTTCGCCCAATACCCGGACACTTCGCAAAGATTTGCCCTCTCAAGATCCCTCTCAATCCCGGCATACCCCAAACGGTATGGGGCAAACCTCACCCCAGTACTGTCCTCAATTATAGCCTTATAGGCCTACTTCGTACCCGGAGGTAAAATCGCACTCCATTGCATGGTGAATCCTTATCTGATGAGATGCCAACACAAAGACACAGCCTTTCGCTTCCTCGATCAAAACGGACCCGGTCACAGGCCCCACGTAGACCTTGCAGTTTTTCAGCTTATGCACAAACAATGCCCTCACACACCCCAGCAATCGAACTTCACAACCTCTTAAATCAGAGAGCATAAACTCTCCTCCGGTTTTATCTTCCCTGGCTTTGTTAAAATTCATTGACAAGACCTCATTTTCCCTGTCCTGAAAGCCAGGCAAGTCCAACGCCTGAAAAAAACCCCCTGGATTTTGAGCCATGGTGTTGTTTTCATTCTCAATGTTTCCATTTCTAGATGGGCACTCAGGAATCGAGTCCTTCTTTGCGGTGTTGTTTCTTTGGGATGAGAGTAGAGTTTGCCTGCTCCAGGGCTTGCTTGAGCTCGGAGACGGTTTTAAGGCATGACCGGACTTCATATGAGGGCAAGAAGTATGAGCTCTCGGCGACTTGCTTTTCAAGACTAGCTATTGAAGCTGAAACCCTTTCCAGTTCTGATCTTAGATTTGTTGGGTCTTGGGCTTTGCAGACCTGGGACAGTTCTGATTTGATTGATCTTTTAGATCCGGAGAAATGAGAGAGGAATGACTGTGTGGGAAGTGTAGGAGAGGTGTTTGGGTCCGAATTAGGCTTGCACGACGCCAGCCGTGACTGATGGAGGTTGGAGAGGCGCTGTATCATTGCCGCATGCTTGCGTTGGATGACTGTGTTTGATATTTCATCTTTTATGATGCCTTTAGATAGGCCACAATAATCCTATTCAATGGGTTTATCATAATAAACATCAACCCGGCCATCAATTTTAGTGTTGTCAGCTATTGACTATTCGGAGACAGGGGCGGACCCAGAACTTTTAAACTGTGGGGTCGAAATTTAGAAAATTTATATCCAATCGCCACGCTTCTAACAATAAATAAACAGTATTCTCTAATACATAACATTAAAGTTTATATATGTTATTGAAAATACTAACTAAAAATAGTTCTACATTACAAATATGAAATACATCTTTGGATTCTCACTCAATTCTTTCTTTTTAAATCTTGGTGTTTTTTTAAAATACATTTGCATCTTATATGGAAATTTAAATAATTAAAAACATTATAAACTGTTACGGAACGAGAATTCGTTCCTTGGCTTGCACGCACACTGGAAGGCCGAATCCTTTGAGGATTTGGTTTAAGTGATTTCCTAGTTTATTTTGGTCTTGTACTCTGTGTTTCCTAGTTTACTGGTTTCCTTCTAGGATTTGGATTCTTGGCTTATAAATAGGGTAGGAGTTTTCTGTATTCAACAGAACCCTTGGAGAAATAAACAAAATGCTTCACAATACTTTTATCATGGTATCAGAGCAAATCTTCTGAGACCTGTGTCGACTTAATTTTCTCGGCCAACGAGCACCACCTGCATCTTCCGATCAACAGACATGGCGGACGAGAAGGTCGAGAAAACTGAAAAACCTGTTTCACGAGTTTTCAGTGAAGAGGAAGAAATCGGAGAAAAGCAAGTCACAAAGATAAGTCCATATGAGCTGAGATCTTCGGATACTCCTGCTCTCGTCATCACCCAGATTAAATTAACTGGAGATAACTATGAAGAATGGGCCCGGGCGGTGCGAATAGCTCTCCGAGCCAAAAGGAAGTTTGGATTCATTGACGGATCCATTCCTCTCCCAGAAGAAGACGAAGAAGAAGCTGAAGAATGGTGGATCGTGAACGCCATGTTGGTGTCATGGATCTTTAACACCATAGATGGATCTCTCAGAAATTCCATCACACAAGTAGAAGAAGCAGCCCAACTCTGGAACGACATCAAGGAGCGGTTCTCCGTTGCAAACGGACCTAGAATAAACCAGTTAAAAAGGGAATTGGCAAATTGCAGGCAGAATGGTCAGGCTATACCAACATATTTTGGTAAACTCAAGAGCATATGGGATGATCTCGGCACGTTGGAAAAATTGCCTACGTGCTCCAAGTGCCGCGGCTGTAACTGTGGCACGCTGA